AATAGGTGGGCCATGCCTTCGGCATGTGGCCCCCCTAATAATAATACGCAGAATAAATATGTGCAATAGTAATAGGTGGGCCATGCCTTCGGCATGTGGCCCCCCTAATAATAATACGCGGAATAAATATGTGCAATAGTAATAGGTGGGCCATGCCTTCGGCATGTGGCCCCCCTAATAATAATACGCGGAATAAATATGTGCAATAGTAATAGGTGGGCCATGCCTTCGGCATGTGGCCCCCCTAATAACAGTAAATAAATATAGTATTAATAGTAGTGCAGGAGACAGTTTGTCCGGAGTAATTTTTTTTTTCAGGGGGGCTCAGCTTCCTGACAGCTTGGTGGATGAAGCTTTCTGTGAATCTGGTGGAGCGGGCAAGAGCCTGAACAGACAGTCAGTCTATGAAAACACACACATGCACAAAGACTGTCTGTCTGTCTGTCTGTCTGTCTCTCCGTCTGTCGCTCTCCTTCATGCACGCACATGTCCTGCTTTAATCCAGTTTCAGACGAATGGAAATGGGTCGAATTTGTCCAGAGGAGGTCAGTTGAGTTCCACAAACAGGAGTGAAGACCTGCTGTCTTCGTGCTTGCCCGTGTTATTAACTGCGGAAAAGCACATGGCTAATTTGCATACGCGAACAGGATTGGCTGGCTCCACTTCCCAAAAAACAGAACATATTTGTGAATAAAGGTTTTGAATTTTAATACTGGAAATGTTGAGCTTAAAAACATTTTAGTGACCATTAGTGACAAAAAAATATTTTATTTTGAATTTTTTTTTGACACAATTTAAGACCCCCTTTAAATTTTGCTTTTGAGGCTTTCAGGGAGTCTCATGGGTTAATCGGTGGGGTCTAGCCCCTCCTGATCCCCACGTATTTCGCACTCTGATTTTAACTATCCAACCACGAATTATCCGCAACTTGGTTAGACTGAATCATTGTTCTGTTTACGTTGAAATTACATGATTAGCATGTGCTAAATAAAATCTCTGAGTCTTTTACCTGGTTTTCTATCAGAGCCAACAAACTGGAAGCTTCTCTAAATCCAGGGAGGTGTTCCTGCAGTGCTGGATGTTAAAGTCTAAAGGCTGATTTATACTCAGAAACAAGGGTGTCTGCGTGTGTGTTGTAGTGAATGCAAATGTGCCTCCGCCCTGCCGCAGACACTGTGCCGCACCTCTCCCAAATTGTAAGTGACGGCAGATAGTGCAGACAGGAGGCCTGTGATTGGTCAAATCTACATCCGCTCTACACTATGCATATTTCCTGTTTGGTACCTTACCGGCTTGTTTTGTTTGTATGACCGCCATTGTGGAAAACGACTCGTAAAGATGGACCAGCTAGAAGAGTGAGGTGCGTTAGAACGCTGGGACCCTTTTTCCACTTGGATCCCCGCTCTTTTTCACCCTCATGTCCCTCCGTTGTCGCACAAACTTGCCCCCATTTCCTCACCTCCTTGGACGTATCTAGACCCACAGCTAGTTCTTGATTGTCCCTCTTGCGTTGTGGTGTGGAATAACATAGCGCAGACCACGTTTCAATATTGAGCATAAATCAAAAATATCTATGACAAGCTCACTGCGACACACTGTGTAAAAATGGCCTCTTAAGGGCTGGTTATCCTCCCGCAGCAGTCATTATAACTGATGGGGGAGGGAGGGGGTGTTAGGGTATAAGCATTTAGATATCCAATGAAAAAATTCATGCTTTTAATATGTGCTTAAGATTTCTGTGCTCTTAAATGTCGGTTTTAAGACTGACTTTTGGGATTCAAACAAATATCTAAAGTTCTTTTTGCTGTGTTAACTTTGAGATTTTATTAGGAGTTTAAAAAACAACAACATTGATATGTCACAGTTTTACTTTGGGATCTCTGCTTATCTGCATCTTTCAGATTCCAAGGTAGAACTGGATTTAAGTTTTATGAACAATGAAAATTCTCAGAATAACTTGCTCATTGGGACAAAAAATAAAAAGGTGATTTGTGAGAATCTGACATGTTGCAACAGCTGACTTTTTTCTAAGAATATTGTAAAGATGTGTCCCATGCTACCATATTTAAACAGTATGTCCAATCAGCAGGCATTTATAATTTGAAAGTAGAAATAAATAGTTGGTGTTTACAGACTAATCACTTGTGAATAAGACAACAAAATACTTGATCTTATCTGCTTCAGGTAGAGACTAACTCCTGACCCAGAAGGAGCAGTCCGATTGTTTCTGGACCAGAAATGGGTCTCATACTAAAGAAGCTGCCTCTCATCACGGTGGCCTAAAAATCAACTACTGGAACGTTGAACCTGTTCTGGTACACGCTGAAGTTTGAGGCCTGGAGAAGTTGAGATCCTGAAGGTTCCAGAGGTAGATAACTGGTTTTAGAGCCAGTAGATCCTTAATCAGATTAGAAGGCAGGAGGCCCACGGCAAATCTAGAAGAGCTGCATGGACCACAGCTGTTGGCAGTGAAATATCGGAAATATCCGAGTGGCAAAAGGAAAGCAACAGTACCATTGAAGAAATTAGAAGTCCTGCATGCAGGATTCAAAGCATGAACCTACGGTAGTAGCCATTCAAAATTTCCCCACTTTCCTTGATGGGTCCTTGGCTGGTCCCCTAAAATTCCATTTCAAACATCAATCTTTGTACTAAAGTATTCTTTCTGTCATGATTTGTGGACATTAAGATCTAAAGAGAAGCTTTATCTCCTGGTCAGAGCCTGTAATTCATTGAAAGGTTGGAGTGAGAGTGAAAAAATATGCAGGAAGGGATCACTCCAATGGCTGGAATTTGGAACGGATTCTGCTGGTAGTTGCAGGGAAGTGGGCTCCCATTCGGCTGGCGTTTGACTGGAAAGGGCCATTTTGAATGGCTGCTACTGTATGAAGGAAAGTGACCTGGTCAGCTAAGGAAAGAACAGATCTTTTTGTTCTACTGATAAATCCGACCAAATAGATCAAATCTCATATATACAGTTAAGAACTGAATAAAATCAAAAACTTGAAAAGTGAGATATTTGTTGAAGATAAAGGGAAGAAAGTTGATCTCTATATGCGACTGGCTGGTAGAGACAAACCTATGGCGTTAAATCTGCATAAAGAAATGGTTCAAAAGGATTCATTTAGCAGAACATTAAAGTAAACCAACACTTTTGATTTTTATCGGTCAAAAGAAAATAAATCCCTTTACGATATATTAACGCTCCACTTTATGTAGGTCTACCACATACAGCCTAAATGAAAAACAAGCTATGCTTATGTGTGGAGACTCATTGAAGGAATATGGCAGCCACTATGGAAAAAGGGATTTCTTGAATATTAGAAACACAAAGTTGTACATGATCAAATCAGCTGACAGGTTCCTTAAATAAGACAACACCTCGGTTTTAAAACCCTTCTTCACAAATCCGCTTAGATCCTCCTTTCAGGTAAAGCGTTTATTAGACGGCTGCTTATTAGCCACATAGAGAGGTATTAGGAAAGCTGGGCATGGGCGCACCAGGTCCCTGTTAAATGGCCTCATGTGGATAGAGCTGGGGAGGATTACAGCGTGATGAATTAGTTGGTGAGGAGATGGTGAGTAAGCATGGCTGAGAGAGGAAGGGGAGGAAGAGGATGGAGGAAAAAAAAAATCAACCATCCGACGTTCAGTAGATGGCTGTGGGTTTTTCCTACATAAAACATACATGAAATAATTACTGTCGATGGTTGTTAATTTAGAGGCTGTAAACCATCTTGTAGACATCTGGTACTGATCCGAGTTGGGTCATTCAAAATTTATCTAACAGAATTAAGGAGAGCCGAGAGGGGAGGGGAAAGATGTTTAGGTGTGTGTTAGGAGGTGGTTAAGGGGCGGCTGGAGGAAGCCCACACACCAACACACACACCTGGGAACTGACAAGCCACGAGATAACCAACCTAACTAGACACAAGGTGAGGGATGAGTGTGTGTAACAGGAGGGGGTAGGGGGTGGGGGGTCCTTGTAGGGGGATCCTTAGTGCTGTCAGGGGGGGTTTGTAAATATGCAAAGAACCAGTAAATTAAATCAAACTGCCAAACTGTCAATTTCGGGCTAGCGTGACTAGTGCATGAAAATGGCATCACTGGAAGGTATCAAGGCTTCGGCGGCCCCCTTATCCCTGGGCTTTTCTGGCATCGGTTCAACTCTGTGCAGAGAGGTGGCTAATTTCGCATGCAAATTTCAGTCAATAAGCTCCAAGCAAGTCGTCCCAGGATATTTCAGAAGATCTGACAGTAGACTCTCCCTCCTCTCTCCTTCTCTCTATCATTCTTGCTCACATTCTTGTTTTGGCTTCTGAATACCAACTAGACAGACAATGAAATTCAATCAGCCATTTGCTTATGCTTTGCATATGCACGCTGTCCCCTTGATGCTGTATCCCCACAATCCAGCCGGCCTCGTCCTCTCGGCTCTAACAGCCTAAAAATAATGAGGGGCTTGGATGAGAGAATAAGTGTCTGAGCGTGTGCTCGTGCATCATTACCTATCTGCGCTCATGTCCTCCCACTCGTCCTTAGTGGGGCTGGGGCTGCGGCCTTGCCAGCTGATGGCTTGATTGGAGCTGACTGTTGGGTGGCTGCGCCGGCGTAGGAGACCTCTGTGCCAGGTTGTCTTGAGTTTGACCTTGCCGCTAATGTTGTTCGCAGTCCCAGCTGCCCGAGCCGGTCCTGCTGCTCGGCTCCTGTAGAAGTCCCTGGCTGCCCTCACGATACCCAGCTCCTGCCTCAGTTTCAGCAGCTGATGATTAAGCCTGGTGATCTCTCTCTGACATGTGGCCAGCCGGGTTTCTAGAGCCCTGATCTCCCCACAGCGTTGCTCTTCCTGGGCCAGGGCCTGGGATCGGGCCTCTTCTTCTCTGTCGGCCTCCTGCTTTCTTAAATGATCGATCGAAACCTGGAGTCTTCTGCAGTTGTGGGCCAGCTCTTCATTGGCTTGAAGTAACTGCTCTTTCTCTCCTCTCAGCATGTTTGTCTGCTCCTCCAATGAGATCATCCTCTGCTCCAACTGTTTCACCTGAAAACACCACACACATTAACCCAGTTCCTACTGAATCACCTCTTCATTTTTCCAGTATTTTTGTTTTTTACAATGTTCAGGGCATTATATTACTGTATAAAATATTTCTAAAATTGGATCAGGTTTGAATCAGGTTCTCAGAGACTCGAAAGCCTTATAATAATTTAAAAAATATATATCTTTTTAATCTAGTTGCATTCATTTATGATTTGAAGTAGTCATTCAAACACAGATGGTTTAAATAACTGTATGAGTATGCAAACAGTATATCCAGGACTCACATTTGTTTTGATTTTTATCCTTTAAAGCAATACTGTGTAACATTAAGCAACTAGTGGCGCTAGAGCTGTAACTTCCAGATTCCCTGAAAGCGGCTGGCAACAGTAGAATCTGATAGCAGATCACTTTAGATCAGCAGCTTAGCGTCATGGACATGGAGGTCAAGGCAACATTAAACTCAACATCAAAGAACCAAAAAATATGTCCGTTCAGGTAAAGATCACATCTGCTTGGTTGCCTAACAACAACCTAAAGCTTGTTTTGGGTAGAGCTGCCCACACAGCATCAAAATGCATCAAGTTTTGTATAATGACCTGAAAAATCATTGACTGTATCTCAAGTTAAGCCAAAATCTGGGTCAAAACTGACACAGAGCTGCTTTAAAAAAATAATTAAGGTTTAAAAACTGTTTCCCAGTTTTCTTTTGTCCAAATTAATCTAAATATGAAAAGGACTGAGGGTGTAAAGATTACAGTCTCAATATTTACTATTACTGCTTTAATGTTAACTTGGATAATCTATCCATTATTTTTTCAATCAGTCGACTAATTGTCATTTCTTTTAATGATCTCTAACTCCACGTTCTGCCATCAGAAATTACTCTTCAGTTATTCATAAAGATGTTTTGGCTCCGTCTATTCTCTGAATGTCACTTCATTGCCTGCTGTTGCGATTATCTTTCATTTATTCACTTTGGAACATAAATAGTAAATTTATCCAATTACATTTATTTTGAATAATATTTTAATCAGAATATATATATTTTTTTAGAATTAAAATATGAACACTCCAAATGCATTCAAAACATAATGCATAATGGTTGGGGGGAGGTATATTGTATTGTAATGTTTACAGAAAAGCTTGTTCTCTATATATAAAAAAAAAAAGGTTCTTTTTTTGGGAATAGATTGGACTTGATGTGACGCCAGCTGCAAGATGGTTCCGCCTACATGGAAGAGGAAGCAAACCTCAGATAAACTCAGCTGCCTTTTATATGTACATAATATAGTGAATACAGAGGCTGACAAACTGCAGCAGATTTTTATCTTGAATATAATCAACATTTACAGAAACACAATCATGAACCATTTCATAAAGTCTAATTTCTAATATTTGGGAGCAGTTTTGGATCAAATCTAACATTTGATGGGCATATTATGAAAATAATAAAAGCTATTAGGACTTTAAATTGTTTACACCTACTATCATTCTGTCTATTAATAAATTCTGCTAAACTACTTTTATGTTATTATTTTCTTCCATTTTTCATACCGTATTACTGTCTGGGTCCAGGCTAACCAGTCAGCAATTAAAAGTGAAGTCTCTCGCCATAAACAAGCTTTAAAAGTGTTGGATAAAAACTCGATACAATGGCAGTCCTGCAGAAGTTTAGAGAAGTTTTAAAATAATCTTAAAATTTGTGTTTAAATGCAATATTTAATTGAAATATCCTAAAAATATATGCTTCACGATACATATAGAACTTGAGGTTTCACGATCAGAGAGCTGTAGAACCACAGAGCTCATTCACAGTTAATGGGCTGTAGAGACGGAAGATCAAACAAATAAAAACCCTCACAGACTCAAAAAAGCCAAAACAGAGTAAAACATTGGTTGAGATCTACTTATATCTGTAAACATCTGAGTAAACTTTGAAGCAATTTCTTTCGTCGCTATCATATATCCTGTATTTTTCTTTTTTTGTTTCTGTTTATTTTTGTTTGTTCTAATGGTCTGCCAATGAGCAATTAGCTAGATAATCAACTAACATGGCATCGGTTGCAATTCAACTGTAATTATATCTTTTTTTGTTTTTTCTTTCCCTATCAATTTAAGAAAGTTTTTACTAATTCCCTACCAATGTTTTTTCTTATCAATAACATAAAGCCTACAGTTGAACCCCAGTCGGCCGTGGCAGATGGTGGCTCCCACTGAGCCTGGTTCTGCTGGAGGTTCCTTCCTGTTAAAAGGGAGTTTTTCCTCTCCACTGTCGCTACAAGCATGCTTAGTATGAGGGGTTGCATTCAAGTCAATGAGTCGATGCAATCAACTGGTTTTTGTTAGATAGAAAACTTTGAATCAATTTGACTGGATGATCTGGTGAACTGTTAAGTGCCTTAAAGTGAATTTGTGCTATTTAATTAAACTGAATTGAACTGAATTAGACTTAGACTAAGTGTAAGTGTAAGTCTATAACTTTTTGGGTAGGTAGACCCATAATGTGAATAATTATTGTTTTTGTTGCAGAACTAATAAATCTTTGAGGACCAACAGTTAGAAATTAGACCTAATAAATCAACCGCTTCCCTCTCATCGTCTGACACTCGGTCACTGAAATCACTGAAGCTTTAGATCGGGTGGGGGGGTATCTGAAGGTGCGGACATTTGACTGCCACAACCTTTCCCTGATCTGCCTTAAATAGACAGCAAGCAGCCACTCTTAGTCCTTTTGTCAGATCTTCAATGGGAACTGTTTAAGAGAACAGGGGCTGCCTGCCGGGTTTGTGCCTCCAGGCATTTTCTTCCCTTTTATTTGGTTCTCACAGTCTTCCTGCTGGTAAAGCCCAATAGCTCTCAAACAAAATTAGACAGCTATCAGCAGCTGTGGTGATTCACTGTCATGAAAACAGAACTGAAGCATCGTATGAACTCTTTAAAACAAATGCAACCTACTAACACCTCTACTATGAAATTCATAACAAAATACTATTTTCTGGGGAACGTGTCTTTCTTTCCGGCTATTTATAGAGTTCTTTGTTAATCTGGAAAGAAAACTCAGCACTTACAAGCTGACACCTGACTTTGAAATAACTACAAAGTGATAAAAGACCTTTAAATCTTCCTTGAAAGAGCAGAGCCAAATTTTCCAGCAGACATCTTGCGGGAGATGGCTCTGTCGGGTTTCTTTCATTGGTAATGACACAGAGCACTTAGAGATGGCACAGTGCCGTACCTTTTTAAAAGACTGTTTCAGTCGGCTCGAAGAAAGCGAAGGTTTGTTCAGAGTGCTGCTTTTGACCTGCTGCTCCTCTGCCATTTTGTGAAGCAGTTCTGCAAAGAGGAACAAAGCTTGTTATTGTGACACATCGTGTCAAATCCTGGCGAGGAAATCAATAGAAATGTAATAAAAGGGACACATTAAATCAATTAACATTAGTAAGGTCTAATTTCCCTCCTGAGATCTGAGTTCTGCCTGCTTTAGTCAATCACAGCGCTAATGCTGTTTTCAGATGTCCTTAAAAGTGTTCCCAGCTTCAACCCACCTCCTGTTTTAAAAGTCTTATCAACTACAGCGCCTTTAACTTTAGATCAACACCAAGGTGTTATTTGGTAGCCCATAAGGATTCAGAAAAGCAGTCTTCAAAAGCACACAGCAGATCTGACTATGTGCGAGGTTTTTCTCTGGGGATCTTAAACAAACCAGGAGAAGTGCTTGAATCCCAGGTGAGCACCTTGCCCCAGGCTGCGTTCCTTTGTACTCCTCTGTGTTTCCTCAGAGCACCTCTATTCTCCGCAGACACACAGAGCGCCTTATTCAGGAAACATCAATGATAGCGATAGCAAACATCTGATTTCAGATGGTAAAAGCAGAATGCATGCAAAAGTCTCTGCACTCGAGGGTTTAATGCACAAAAACACAACGTTCAAGAGTCTGCGTCACTATTTGAAATGCAGCATCTACCTGCCGAGGTGGGAGTAGCTCTGCTCACCTACATGCAAAGGCCAACGCAAAACAATCTGAAACTTTCGAACTTGCTTTATCTGTGTTTAAGGATTCATGACAAGACGACCGAAATAATTTGTACAATGAGCTGGAAACATTAAATATTCAGGACCTTGACTTTTCAGGTCAGTTGAATATATATACTTTTTTAAGGATAGAGGGGAAAAAAGGGCAGCTGTAGAAGGAGGAAGCAGAGAGAAAGATGGAAAGGCTGCCGCTGCCGCGCTCTGCGTTGACGCCTTGCCAAGGGAAGTTTGTTACACTGAATTAGCCGGGCCTTTTGTCTTCCTTACGTGTCACATTAAATCACACAGAGCACCAAATAGGACAGGAGGGCTGCTGTGTTCGTTGGGTACATAACCAGGCTGGGAGACAATTATCCGGCTCCTGTGCTAGTGGCATGGGAGTTGGCACCTTCAGCCCTACCTTGATAAGAAGACGTGGTGGCTCCCTAGTCACCTGCAGTTGAAGGAGGTTCTGGCACCAGTGCATACATTAACGTCCCTCCCGTGACTCCTCATAGGAAGCAGCTCAAAGGCCCCGTTCCTTTCATCTGCCCCCTTTCGTTAGTGTGATCTCAGTGAGCGCTCCAACCCCACATCCACCTGATTCGGTCACACAGGCTCCACTCCACAAAAAAGCTGTGGCCTCTTACTTTTTTGGGGGGAATAATGTTCATTTTACTGGGTCTCCTAATCTTTAGTTAAAACAAACTAATTCATTTTATCAAACTGTTATATAACAAACGAACAAGACGCCCTTTAAATCCTACTTTGGCTCTAAAGTTGCACTTTTACTGGTGTAGTCTGCCCAAACATCTTATTTAACCTAACAGGAGTTCACATAAATGTCCTTTCTGGACTCATACTGTAGGTGACTTAAAGCAGCTGCTTTCCCAGTTCTGGTGGCACCCTGAACCCTTATTGGATGAATGCTTTTATGAGCCTAAAGTGTTAGACCCTTTAGCCTGGTCTGAATGTGTTTTTATGGTAAATATCACATCATAAATAATCTTACTCAGCAGGTTATGCAAATCACCAAAAGTGTTAAACTCAGACTCTGATTAGACATGAAATAACAGCAGCTTTGAGATGCTTTGGGCCCCTTGATTCTCTCTGTATAGCCTCTTTCCCACTGAAAAGATTGTGTTAATTCGTGTTTTTTTAAACATGGATCGATTCGATCTCAATCAGCATTTGGCTCCCATCCATTACCGAAAAAAACACTGGGTCTAACCCCTCACTGGCAGACTGCGTGGCCTATGTACCCCCACTGCTGCATATGTAGGGTTAGATTTGATGATGTCACCAGTGCAAAAGAAATCAAGAAAGTAAACAAAGTAGAGCAACATGTAAGGAAACCAGGGCATAGTTAGTGTACTTTATTGTTTCGCTCTTTTATCAAATGTAAACAGAGTTGTTTCGATTTGTTGGATAAAAACGACTGCAGCAGCGGTGTGTTCACATCTGTATGTTGAGTTAAATGGTGTTTAATTTTGTTACCGACTTTAAATGGGTTTTTCGGCCAATGGGAAAGGGGTATACATTAGGAATGTTATCAAAAATTTTAAAAATAACTTACGGTCAAATGTCTGCTTTGATGGCTGATTAGGTGAGCTGAACAGCTAGGCTATAAAACCAAGCCTGACCAACCAGTATAATTCAGTGGTGATATTGTACATGATGTGAATTTTAAGGTTTAGTTTAGTTTTTCTGCAACAATATGCTCCATCCCACTGAGTGACTTTCTTTATGAGTGTTTTTTTTTTTTTTTTTTTTTTCTCATTTAGAAACTAATTTGGCTCTGAAGCGATCCAAAGTGGGAAACTACCCTTAGCAAAACGGGCTCAGATCCAGGAGTCCTTCTCATTTCATGGGGCTCCCACAGTATGAGACCCCAGAAATGAGAAGGACTCCTGGGCAGGTGTGGAAAAGTTTTCGGAAAACCTAAGCTAATGTTCAGTGGCGTTCTGTTTAAGCCTTTTTTATGATTGTCATGATACGGACAACTGAGGCTAATCCCAGGAGACCAGGAGACACCTCCTTTTCACTAAGCAACCTGGACTGAACAGCTGTGATGTAGGGCTGGGCGGTATGCAATTACAATCTTACCATGATGTTAGGAGATATCATCGTGATAACGATGACGATAAGTAAAAAAAAAACATTACTTCTTTTCAGTCTTTCGAAGGTAATGTATAGCTGTGGTTGTGAAGCACAACCATCATTGCTCCATAATTACAAATAATACTTTTGAAGAACAAACGCTTCTAAAATCTGCTTCTTCAAACACCAGATGATTTATATCTCTAAACATCCCATAGAGGCTGCATTTATTCACAATTTTTAAATTTGTCAATTCCCCAATGGAAAAAAGAAAGGATAAGAAAAACAGAGAAAAATAGAGAAAAAAAAATCCAGTTCTGACAATTCAATGAGTTTCTGGAGTTTTTATTCATTACTGATTCTACTTTAACGTTTAGACGTTAAAATCTTTTTCTATCATAACTAGAAACTGATCATGATAAACGATACGTTAAATGCCCCCCGCCTGCTCTGATGTTAGTGGTTTTTCCTCACGATCCCACCTGGGAAAAGGACATGAAAAGCAAACGTCCACTGATCCTGTCCGGTTCACTAAGAACAAAAAGATCCAGACCTCACCGAGTTTCTCCTGTTAGCTTAGTTTTCTGCTGCTGAGAAAATCTATGTTTTATAGGAGGTTTCTGATCAAAGGTCCTCCTTTTTCTCTCTCTATCCTTCAATGACCTTCACTTTAGTTATTGAGTCACACAATTCAAAGCCAAAAGCCTCTTTCTTTAAACTCCAGAGAGAGTTTAAAGAAAGTTAACAGAACTGAGATTCAATTTAACTGGTGGACAATTTAAATGTTCAAGTTTTTGTTTAACATCAACACTCCCCTATTTTAAATCTCAACTTGAAGCACATTTGTTAAAGACTGACTTTTCAATCTGAGGTCTATTTATATTGCCAGTGCCACTGTCTATTTTATTTGATTTTATTGTTTCTTTTATTTTGTGCATTTTTGTACGGTGTCCTTGAGTGCCGAGAAAGGCGTCTTCAAATAAAATGTATTATTATTATTAATTAAAAGTCCATTCCTAATTTATTTTTATTAATTGGAGCATCTTTGTGTTTTCTGGTTTATTTTGATGTTTCCTCCAAATGAAGTCATTTAACATTAATATGATGTATCATAAAACTGACAAGATTATAAGTTCCCAGCTTTTTTTCCTTACATCATGTAGATTTGAGTGCAATTATTTCACCGACAATGAATAAATCTTCAATCCAACAACTGTGATGAATCTTAATGATCTTTGTTGAATTTTTGATAAAAATCGAATCTATTTGAGCAACTTTTTGTCAGAAGAAGATGAAAACTGCCTGACTTCCTAACAAGACCATCGATAAGAGGGAATTAGTTAATTAGTTCTCTCTTTTATATCACCGTCAGACATTGTCCCTCGCTGTGGAGAAAATAAAAGCGTGTGAAACAGATCTGTTATTGAACTCATTAATTAAGACCACAGGTTGAAGTGGTCAGCAGTGACAGTGTCACTGAGCAGATTAAAAGGGAAATGCTTTTTAACAGCCAGAATAATGTATGAAGACAAGACAGACTCGCTTTGATCTTCTAATCAATGTGTGAGGAGTTGATCAAGTCTTAATTGACTTGTTGTGTTGATTCCACAGGGGGTAGTGTTATTAATTCTCCTGATTAATACACATTTCCCAAAGGAGAACGAAGAGCGGAGAGAGGTGACACTTTGACACGTTAATCCTTCCTCTCTGCAGTTATTCTGTTAATGATTCAAAATACATTAACTGTGTAGTAGAATGATTCAAAGCAGCATCAGGAAGCTGTTTCCTATGACGGAGTATCAGGGCCAGGCTAAAGGTTTTTTTTTCTTCTATTTCGAGAATAAAGTCATAACATTAAGAGAATAAAGCCGTAAAATTCAGAGAAAAAAGTCTTAAGATTATGAGAAT